TAGCAGCGTCGTTGGTAGCAGGGACTTCGACGGAGTTCTCCTCCTCTCGGTTGGTTCTCTGAGACGAGGACTCTTCGGCGTTGCTGCTTGATTTGTTCTCTTCGTCCCTCATCTTTCTAGATCTCAGATATGTGGTGTTACGTAGCTTTTTTGTGTGAGAAATTCTCTAAGTCCCCTTAGACGGCGCCAAATTGTGGGAGCCAAGACTAGCACAATTAGATTTGTAAGGGTTTCGAGAGGAAGCAGGGATTTCTAGGTTAAACTACGAGAGAACACGATGAGCAAAGAAAAGTTTTTATTGCTGTGTATGCCTTTGTGAACAAAGTTGCGGATATCTTTTACAAGGGTTTGTACATTGATATATATAAGGTTCCTAAGTCGGCTAGGCTTCTCCATAAAGGATTATGTTAAGTTTCCTAAGTCTTCTCAGATTTCCTTTTCGTCCATGTCGATTGCGCCGAAGTGGACTTTGCAACTGGGTTGGGTTCAGCGTTGAGACGCCAAGCTCCCGCGGTCGTTATGACGTCGCTTCGTAGCTGCTATGCTCATCTTCTGGAGATATTTGGGCTTGTCCTCTCAACTGGCTTCGGGCCGAAGCCCAACGCAGGAAGCCTTCGGGTCTCGCTCACGAGGCGAAGACATGATCTTTCTTGCGAGGCGAAGGCAAGCTCTCGTATGCGAGGCGAAGACAAGGGTCTTCCACCAGAGACTTCGGTGGCATACTTGGCAGGGTTGTCGGTGTGGTGCTTGTGCTGATGTCTGCATGCACGTAAGACTAAGAAGACTTCACCTTGCAGCGCGGAGAAGACTGCGCTTCACGAGCGAAGAAGAGTTAGGATTGGAGAAGACTTGTCTCATGGCTGAAAGTGACTTAGGAACCATATAATCTCTAGACGTTAGCATAACTCAGCGTACGCTTGTTGTGTTAATCAGACTTTGAACATTAACGTTGAGCGGGTGAAACCCGACCCCAACAATCAGGTAACACGCTTAGGGGCAGCGATGCTCGCTAAGGCTTGTCTGGTTGCAGGAAGACTGCTTGGGTGACTTGGGATAATCAGGCCGACAAGTGACTGATGCGATGAAAAT